AACTATCAATAATGAAAATTTTGCCATGCCTGACTCCCTCAGATGCAGCAGTTACTTTTTTCTTGGTGATTTCACCACTTCCTTCCATTTAATTACTTTGAGGATTAACTGTGGGCAAATGTATTCCAATAATAGGCCAATCTACAAAGAACAGGAAGCTTTCCTTGTGGTCCCAAGGGAAATTTAGTGCTTCCGACTGTAACTCTGCATTACAGCTCTCATGTTTCTTTTAGCCCTTAAGCCATGTGTGTCACCTTGCCTGTCTGAGTGTAAAAAAATATGTCACGGTTGCACTGTTTACATGCTAGCATTTGTACACAATTTCTGGCAGGAGTCAAGATGACTCTTCTTAATCCAGGCCATACAGGAAGCTATTTCTTTCCAAATCAAGTCATTAATGCTTAAACAAGCAAACACTGCAGCCAAGACAAAAATCAATTTGCAAAAAGGGGAGGCTTTTTTCCAAACACTCCAGCGGTCACTGGGGAAAGATGCTTTTACAAATCTGATGCTTGAGAGTATTACAGTATTAGGCTAGGTTGATCCTATTTTTCTAGTTGGATTTATTTTATTTGAGAGTCAAGGTGATTAATAGTGTTAAATACTATCAGCACTGTTTTCACTACCAGAAGAAATACTTTTTCTTATAACAAGCATAGGAATCTATCAGTGACCTTCATTTGACCTCTTGGCCACATGTGTCTGGTTATCTTCCAACAGCTGAATTCTCTATGACAGTGGTGTCCAAACACTGCTGCACATTAGAGTCATCTAGGGAACTTCTTAAAGCCCAGTGACCAAAACACACCCATCCCAATTAGATCAGCATATCTGTGGGGTGGGAACTGAATACCAGTATTTTTTAATCATCCCCAAGTGACTGCAATGTGCAGAAATATTGGGAACCACTGTTCCACAACATTTCTGATTCATGTAACTTTTGGGTTATGGACTCTCAAAAGGAAGGATAAGAAGGGATTATCTTTCTCTACTGTGACTTTTAGATTTGTAAAATCAAGAAATATTAAAGATATATGTATTATTTCAGGGATATATTTACTAAAATACAGAGAAAATATATCAAGGGTCATGAAACAGTCTATATCCTTTGATGTGCCCATTTTAATGTATTAGGGCATAATCAAAAATGCAAAGACATATATAGAAGTGTTGATTAAATTTTAAAATTATAGTGTCAAAATACCATATATTAATATATATTATATACTTATATCTGAATATATATTATATATTTATATTATATATGAATATATATTATATACTTATATAATATATGAATACTTATATAATTATATGTTACATATAATTATATAATATATTCATTAAATTATATTAATTAAATTTAAAATTTATGAATTTAAATTTAAATTGAATATGAATATATTATATACTTATATTAAATATTATATATTATATACTTATATTAGTATATAATGTATATTATTTATATAATATTTATATATATTAAATATATATAAGCATATTATATACTTATATTAAAATTTAATTATGTACTTATATAATATATATTCATATAATGTAATGAATTATAAAACAACTATGAAGAACTATGCTTTAAGCGTTTTTCATAACACAATAAAGTACTGTTCATATAATATTAAGTACAAAAACATCACATGTTATGTATACACTATGAACATATATAATATATATGGGTATATGTCCATATATTTGCACCAAATATATGTATATTTTATACATGATTTATGGTACATTTAAATATATATACACATATATATGAAACAAACATATCAATGCCTACATGCAAAAGATAGCCCTATAAATTAACACTTTAAGTTAGAAACAGTATTTACTCTGGACAGGGTAGCAGGGATGAGCAAAAGGAAGGGAGATTTTCTTTTTTTGCATATATTTTGTTTAAAAATGTTATTGTATATTTTACTAAAATATAAAATAAATAATTAAAACAAACTAAAAAGTAAAAACTTATACATACAGCAAGAAAGGTTCACCAAAATATAAATGGAACTTCTAATTTATTAGAGTGTATTTTTTTGTATTTTCTGTTCTGTTACACTTTTTTCTGTTTTTTTTAACCACTTTTTTTACTAAGCATCTATTATTTTATAATCTAGAAATAAAAACATTTGCTCTAAGAATAGATTATTAGACAAATACATCCTCAGGCTTGAAAGCATTGATTTACATTACAGAGACATTCCTGCCTCACTGGCTAGGCCAAGAAAGTAGGTTTCTCATTCAGTTGTTTCCACCAAGGAGTCTACATGCATTTTGAGAATACTATTCAAATCTTGCTAATTCCAATACCATCTTGCCTTTAACCTATTTCAAGAGTGCCTTTCCCAAAGCAATCAACCTGCATAATTTGCAAGTTTAAAAAAGGAAAATTCAAACTGAAGAGACATCTGAACATTTTAGACAGTCGAAATACTCCCACAGCTGAAAAATCAACATATTCTTCACATGGAGCAAATCATGATAAGCACCTACCAAATGAGTAAAGTATAAATTATAGCACAATTGTGTCACATTGAAACTCAAATGGAAAGCAATTCCTACACATTTTGGAGGGGGAAATAGGGAAGCGCAACACATAAAGGGGGGAACTGAAGATGACCACAAAAAAAAAAAAAAAAAAAGGTCAGGAAACGTCCAAAGAAATCCCACAGGAGCTAACTGGCGTAACTTCTATCAAGGATACGGAACTGCAAGGATTTCTAATAGAACACAATTTAAGGAGATGAAAATTCTTTTTGCTTGTGGATTTACTTAAAATGTGAAAATGAGGAACTAATAAAATCAGTCAAGAGGTCAAATCCACCACTCTGAAGCAGAGGTTCAGAACCTCCATAAGTTACTTCAGTGAAGGATGAGGTTTGTTGAGAAAAATGTGAACAAATGAACCACGTTATTGTAGAAAGGAGTGTTACACAAAAAGACAGGTGGATTCTTCAGGGGTTAAAAAAATTCATTTCAAAACACACCAGGATGTTTTTGCTCTACTAGAAATCCCAAGAAATTACATCCCGAATCTTGAATTCAAAGAAAAATCAGTACATTAAAAAAGATTTACTGGGGGCCAGCACTGTGGCACAGTAAGTTAATCCTCCCATATAGGTGCCAGTTCTAGTCCCAGCTGCTCCTCTTCTGATCCAGCTCTCTGCTATGGCCTGGGAAAGCAGTAGAATAAGTCCTTGGGCCCCTGCACCCACATGGGAGACCAGGAAGAAGCTCCTGCCTCCTGGCTTCGGATTAGCTCAGCTCTGTAACCGCCATCTGTGGAATGAACCAGCAGATGGAAGACCTTTCTCTCTCTCCCTCTCACTGTCTGTAACTCTATCTCTCAAATAAATAAATAAAATATTTTTAAAAAATATATACTCTACTGATATAATTGGTGTTGTAATAAAGTTGAAAGTTCTAGAGGGTTAACACTGTAGCAGTGATTTGCAGTTTCATGCAATAGTTCAACACAAGGGTTAGAGGAGTCGCCTACCAGGCAGAGACTCAAGATGCAGGAATCCGCCCATCCAGTGGCCACACTATTTTCTGGTGCCTTGGAATTTCCTACTTCTATCCATTGGTAGGTTAAAGAGAAGGTGAAGATGATCACTGGTAGAAAAAAGAAACCATTTCTTCTGCTTGCTTTCTTCAATGGACTACATGTTCATACCCCTACCTAAAAATATGTTGAAGTTTATATATCTAATGTGAGAATATTAGGGGAGATTAGTAGGTCCTAAGGATGGAAACCTCATGAATGAGATTAGTGCCTTTATAAAAGAGACCCCAAAGAGCTCCCTCACCTCTTCCACCATGTGAAGAGATGAATCAGAAAGTAGTCCTTTACCAGACACAGAATCTGCCTGCACCTCGGTCTTGGATTTCCCAGCCTCCAGAATTGTGAGAAATTTCTGTTGTTTATAAACAGTATTCTGTTATAGCAGACCTAGTGGACTAAGATATATTCCATAGCAAGTGGTTCTACCTAGATGTAGCTCCAGATGCAGACATATCCTAACGATGCCATATTAAGGAAGGGGACCACAAATCTTTGATTTCCAGTGAGCTATCTTTACCACAGATGTTGTAAGTATCAGTGGAAGTTTTATTAGAACTTCACTTCAGGGGCCAGTGGTGTGGCCTGGCACATAAAGCTGCCAACTGCATCCCATATGGGCGCCAGTTTGAGTTCTGGCTGCTCCACTTCCTATCTAGCTCCATGCTAATGTACCTGGGAAAAGCAGCAGAAGATGGCCCAAGGGCATGGGCCCCTGCCACCCACATGGGAGATCTGGAAGAAGTTCTGAGCTTCTGGCCTCAGCCTGGCCTGGCCTTGGCCTTTGGAATCAACTGGGGAATGAACCAGCAGATGGAAGAGCTCTCTCTGTGTCTCTCCATCTCCCTTTGTAACTCTTTCAAATCAATCAATCAATAAAGAAGGTCACTTCATAATGGCCTACACTGAACCTAATTCTAATTGTATCTATTTGCACTAACTGGTAATTGGTCTATAAATAGATTATCTGTAAATGCTTTTAGGTTCAAGCTGGACTTTAACGGTATTGACAACAATTTTCTCTGATTTTTATGAAACTCCTTTTCTACCCAAGATTCTAACAGTACAAAGAGGAACATTTGCCTCTTTCAGTGTTTTGCTCCCCATTTCCTGCCAGAATTTGTGGAAGATTCCCTATTCTTTTTTGTCTTCCTCATACAAACTCATGTCACCTGGACTAGTTTTTACACTTGTATAACTTTTATAACCAATAATACGTGGTTGTCAGACAAGCCATATACTTTGTTTCCAAAGTTCTGTAATGGCTATTATATATTGTATCAGAGTTGTTATCTTAGTAATGGTCACTCACGTTCTCTGTATTTTAATGTATTTATGATTCTCCTTCATTGTAATAATGTCATCAGTCATTCCATACTTGTATAAATAAGCCTCATAACTTCTTTCCTCCCTCAAGTTCTGCTTTGAAAGCAGTCAAATTCCACTTGTTGCAAATCCCTAAAACACACGAATGCCACGAGGGACGGCTGCTGGGCAAGAGTGTAGAAATGGATCCGGTCAGACCCATTACTGCTACTGGAAAAGCACATGTCCTCCTGAGGGTGAGTCACACATTAAGACCGGTCTATTTTTATATCTTGACTTTTATAGCCCAGATGAATCTGGTATAACTTTATTATAATAATTTGAACCCTATTGTCTAAGTCCATTACCATACACTGCTGTTGAGATAGAAGATGTTTGGTGGTATGGAAAATATCTAAAAATATTATCTTTGAATGGTGACCAAAAAAAAACACAAAATATTTTCTATTTCTGTAACACAGGCAACTGTTCTCTATTATAATACCCCCATTTCCTATCAGTGTCTAAGAAAATAGAATACCTAGATGTTTCTTTGATTTGCGTTTGGCTCATGTATTTTTGCAAGAACTGCAAGCATTTCTCAAATCTTTTTGAGAGAGAGAGAGAGGATCTGCTGTGATCTGTGAACAAACTCTTCAGAGGCACAAAGCTCTGATTCTGCTTTAAGTTTATCACAGAGCTCAGTAGGAAGTTTGTTACATCTGTTATTAGGTCTCTATTGCAGGCCATGTTATGGCCATCATTTCCTAAAATATTCTTAAAAGATCATCCTCATTAACAATATATAATAATCCCCCGTGACACTGTGTTATAAAACAAGGTTGCAATGAGGTATGGAGAGGGCTACAAAAAAAAAAAAAAAAAAAAAGTGAAGCCCTTTCATTGTAGCAACCCAAATTTTAGAGTTAACTGCTAAGGTACAATCTAAATATTGCTATGCTGTTAACACAACTGTAAGGAATACTGATTCTCCAGGTCGGAGTCTATTCATTATTACCTCCTTATTATCTGCCATCAATTTTGGTCTCCTTGATTACATCATTTCAGTGTTTGAGGTTGGAATTATCTTTCACTCGAGCCACCTGAACTCAAAAAAACCTCTCAATGTCACCAACTTTCCTTATTTTAGTTTCTAATCATAGGACACTGCATCTATATAATTTTGTCCATGCTGTTATAGGTTTTCCCACTTCAGAATGTACCAAGTGGAGTTCTAGTCTAGCTAAATTATAACAGTGTGAAAATACCATCATCTTTTCTGACCTGTTTATAAAGACTGCAATGGGACAGCTATAGAAGTCTCTATTCTTATCAGCAATAGGGTATTATCTGCTCAATATAATACTAATGATTTTTAAACATAAAATCAGTTCTATCATGCATTTAGAGCCATTGCTTTATAGATTAGTTTGCTGGGTAGAACATTTCCAGGGACCGCTGTTTATTGCTGATAAATATAGCTTGCTTATTTAAGCTCTTTACCTTGCTCTAACCCTGCTGAGAGATCTTCTGAAGCAAGAAGCTTTAGAATGACATAGGCAGGTAATGTGCTGAAAGCATTGGACAACCTCTTATTGGAGGCACCACGATCAGATAATAAAGCAACCACTGTAACTCAAGGTCAAATGATCCTTAATCTAAAAACAATCTCTAAATGACATAAGAAGGGCTTTACCCTTAACATCCACTGCATTTGAGGTCCTATTTCATCTCTGCAGAGTAAAGTCAATAATATGAGAATCATGAACTGAACAGGATTGCAAATCCTCTTATGCTACCTGCTGGAAATTAAGTGAGTGGGAGAAATCATTGTTTCAAAATTTCAGTAATGCAAAGAAATGAGAAAATAGTTCATAAAGTTATGGTTCTAAACAAACAGTGGCCAAATAACGTTGTTTGATAGGAATTGTTTTCTCTGCTTGCTTCCTGAATTCTCCATTTAACATTCTAGAAAGCCATTCTGATGGAAAATATGAAAGATATGCAAGTTAAAATTGCTTATTAATCATGTTTTACAACTGGATAACTAAAATATTTTTATTCAAAGGGAAGCTTCCTAACTCTATCTATACTTTTAACTCCCCAAATTAAATTCAGCAACTCACATTTTTGTATTGAGTTTTATGCCTCATAATACTTTATGCTGATACATTATTTAATTGTAGGAGTAAGTATATAACTATTTGAATAATTTAAGAAAAAATGAGATTTTGACTTTCATTTGCTGGAGAAAACGATTTGCTGGGTTTTGTTTCTCAAACTTTAACAACATCCTTAGGTTTTTGCATGCACATTAAAGTGCAGATTCCAGTTCAGCAGATGTGAAGTGGCACTCAATAGCTTGCATTTCTAACAAGCCACCAGATGATGCTAGTTTTGGTCCCAAAGTCACATCTTTAGTGATAAGATTATAGAATTTTTTCATTATTCCTACAGAATTTCTGAAGAGAAGTGAGAAAATGTATTTTGTAGATTTATTTCCTGATTCTCTATTTTCATTTGAATATACAGCATTTTTTAAAAAGCAATTAAAGAGCATATGATTTTTTCCTTGGAAAATGTAAGATACAAATGCAAAATGATCATCATTATGATTTATACTAAGCTTTGCATCAACAGCCAATACACCACCTATTAACTTATGGACTACTAATTTAATCACCTAGTGAGGTCAGTCAACAAGCAAACTCCCCGGATTGTTGAAGAAATGCAAACTTAAACATAACCAATCAAAACAGTTAGGTTCTACTGAATAATTCAAAAGCAACGGAGTAAAAATCCTGTTTTAAATTGGAAACGCACTCAAAAGGACATTTTTTTCCTTGTTGAGCTCAGAAATCAGTGTATTTACTTAAAATGCTGACTCAGACCTTGGATAGGCCATTGACTTCACCAGCTTTTAATAAAACTCTGAGGGAAATTCCACTGCCATACAATGAAATTCCATTACGTATGACTTATTTTGGGCTCTGCAACTGATAATAAAACATATCAAAGAGAATTCCTCTTCATTTGTTTTTTTAACCGGAGGCTTGGTTTTTGTATGACTTATTGTATTATTCCAGGAGAGTGCTTTTACTGAAAAGTATTTTTAATTGTGTTCTTCAAGAAGTACTAAAAATACATAAATTTTGTTAGAGAAGTTATGTCAATGTTTTAAAATTATATATTTAGCAATTATCAATTAGCTTAATAGCTTCCATAAATATTTTGCTATTTATTTATGGTGTTATGATGCCAAGGAATAACTTTATGGTAGAAAAGACTGATTTTTCCACAGTCCTGCTCAGTTATCATCCAGCGTATATTTCTATGTGAACTGTAAACTAATCTTTCAATGGTTGATCAAGAAACACTGCTAAGAGTCTAGAAGAAATCATATACATTAAAGAAAAAAATTCAAGTTCAATATTTTGGGTTCTATCAGTAGCCATCATGGATGGCTTGATGTTTGTGGCACTGTTTATAAAATTAATTAACATTGGTAATAAGCTTTACAGTTAATGGAAGTTTCTCTTAACAATACCCTATTTGACAGGTAAGAAACACACAGAGCTATGCTACCTAGAGCCCCTTCAAGAATGACCTTTTTTCCCCTGCTGCTGGGAGTGCCAGCAGCAAAAATTCTCTAGCTAGTCACCTCTTCAAGCATCGTGTCAGCTGCATCCTTCCCAGAATGGCTCACATCCAATGACAGAAGCAGGGGTACAGAGGTCTAGGCTTTTCAGAATAGCATAGGACTAACCCAAGCTTGGATTTTCCTTCACCCAATTCTGATTTTGTTCCCCTGGTTTTCATAGGTGTGCCTCCCCTAATGATTCTGCATACTAACACCCTCTAATAGTTTGCTTAACCAAACTTGGCATAATAGGCATTTTCACCTTCATCTTAATGTAGGCAAACAGGCTGCAAGACAGTAAGTGGATTACCAAAGGTTAGGCAATTTGAGTTCCTCTCATTACAAAGCACCACTCCCCTACCATGAGACTTCCATCCCTATGGTCTTTCTGAACCTTGACATTGCTTTTACCTGTACTTCAGGAGATGCACTCAACTTAAGAGAATTTGAGAGGCCTTTACATATTTTTTAAAGATTTATTTTATTTGACAGGGAAAGCCACAGAGAGAGAGGGAAAGACATAGGGAGAAAGAGAGATTTCCCATCTACTGGCTCATTTCCCAAATGGCCGCAATGTCTGGGGCTGGGCAAGGCTGAAGCCAGGAGCCAGGAGCCTCCCCCAGGTCTCCCAAATGGGTGCAGGGGCCGAAGCCCCTGGGCCATCCTCTGATGCCCTCCTAGTCACATCAGAAAGGAGCTGGACTGGAAGTGGGGCAGCCAGAACTCGAACCAGCACCTACATGGGATGCCAGTGCCACAAGCTGTGGCTTAACCCACTAAACCACAACGCTGGCCCCAATAGGCCTTTATTTTCTAAAATATTTTGTGACAGATATTCCTCTCTTATCTTTTTTCACCTCACCGCTACTCTAGGAGCTACAAAGGAAACTAGTAAACACTTAACCCAACCTCTCTCTTAGATAAAATTCAGAATGTCATTGTCCCTAGGTTGCTTGGTTGCAGGGGGAAGGGCGGATGCTGAAGTAGAAGAGCCTGGGGCAGGGACTACAGCAAGTATAAATCGAGACAGGGCCAAGGTTCAAAGTAAAATCAGATTTCAACAGTTTGTACCATACAGAACATAAAGTGTAAAATACTGTTTGAATACTAGTTATAGCATTAATTCACATTGAACAACACATTAAGGACAGAGATCCTACAAGAGGAGTAAGTGCACACTAACTCCTGTTGTTGACTTAACAAATTGACACTCTTGCAAACTGTTGAAATCTTTACTTAATATATACTAAATTGATCTTCTGTATATAAAAAGAATTGAAAATGAATTTTGATGTAATGAATCTTGATGGGAAGGATGCAGCTGACACGATGCTTGAAGAGGTGACTAGCTAGAGAATTTTTGCTGCTGGCACTCCCAGCAGCAGGGGAAAAAAGGTCATTCTTGAAGGGGCTCTAGGTAGCATAGCTCTGTGTGTTTCTTACCTGTCAAATAGGGTATTGTTAAGAGAAACTTCCATTAACTGTAAAGCTTATTACCAATGTTAATTAATTTTATAAACAGTGCCACAAACATCAAGCCATCCATGATGGCTACTGATAGAACCCAAAATATTGAACTTGAGATTAACTCTAGTTAATCATAATTCTGATATTATA